TTTTGGTCATCGAGGGACAGACAGAGAGCATGGCGTAGGTGTATTCTAGCTACAAAAAAAAAACCATGGGATTTGATCAAAAAGCGATATCGGATTCTGAACGTGATGTGATGCGAAGTGAGACGTCAAAACGAAATGTCATTGTGTCCGGGTCCATCCCATCATCTCAAGATAAGGTAATCAGCTCCGCGGTCAAATGTGGCCCCCCCCGGTGTTCCGCTATGAAGGTCTCAGATCCACCAGCCGCTTCTCCGCCGCATAAGATGATACGCTGTTTACGCCGTTTACGCCGGCGGAGAGCGCCCACCTGACGCTTGTTGCACCAAAAGCACGGCTCCCTCTCGGCATAAGGCGGCATTGGGGCCGGCTTCGGCTGGAGGAGCCAACTGGGAGCTTTGGGGGAAACTGGGCAGGGATTCAGTGGCAGCCACGGCAGCGTTATCTTACCCCACCCCAACCTTTCCCCACACTCTGGGAGCTCGCCGAGTTCCCTGGGACTTTATAAGGGACTACGATGTCGCTCGACTCCGGTTCCCGCGTCTCCTGTGAAAGAAGTGGCTGGCAATTGGCTTGAGACGAACGATCCAAGACGACGGAACGGACACTTTGTTGTTCTCGCAGTGTGTAGCACTATCTGTTTCTAGTTTACCCAATCGTTGGCTCTCGTCAGAGACCTCTCTCCCATACCCCCCTCGTCCTCTTCTCCCCTCTTCTCGCTTTTCCCTCTTCTTTCACAATGCGTCGAGCATTTACTCGAAGCATTACTACCGGTGCTGGCCGAACCTCTAGAGCATCTCTCACCCGATCATCCCTCCTCTTCTCAAAGCCTACCATCATGGCCTCCTCCGGCTCGCCCACCTCCGCCGTCGCGGCGAGGAGGATACACGCCACGGCGAAGCACCTCAATGCCGCCCTGGACTCGACCGCCGAGTCCTACCCCAACACCCACGAGAAGATTGCCAAGCCAGAAGATACCCCCTTCTTCCTAGACAACAAGTTCATGACCTCGGCCGCGACCGACTTCATCGACCTTCACGACCCGGCCACCAACAACCTCGTCACCCGCGTGCCGCAGATGACCACCGAGGAGCTGCAGTCCGCCGTTGACTCTGCTGAGAAGGCCTTCCCCAAGTGGCGCGCCATGAGCGTGCTTGCCCGCCAGCAGATCATGTTCAAGTTCGTCGCCCTCATCCGCGAGAACTGGGACCGTCTGGCGGCGAGCATCACCCTCGAGCAGGGCAAGACGTTTGCTGATGCCAGGGGCGATGTCCTCCGTGGTCTGCAGGTTGCCGAGGCTGCCTGCGGCGCGCCTGAGCTCTTGAAGGGCGAGGTGTTGGAGGTGGCCAAGGACATGGAGACGAGAAGCTACCGCGAGCCATTGGGTGTCGTGTCTGCCATCTGCCCCTTTAGTAAGTGAACCCGATATGGTTTTCTTTGTTGGAAAGACGAAGGAGAAAGGATTGAAGCTAACAAGGGTCTAGACTTCCCCGCCATGATTCCCCTTTGGTGCATCCCCATCGCGACCGTCACCGGCAACACCCTCATCCTGAAGCCCTCGGAGCGTGACCCCGGCGCGGCCATGATCCTCGCCGAGCTCGTCCAAAAGGCCGGCTTCCCCGAGGGCGTTGTCAACGTCGTCCACGGCGCCCACAAGACGGTCGACTTCATCCTCGAGGACCCCGTCATCAAGGCCGTCAGCTTCGTCGGCGGCAACAAGGCCGGCGAGTACATCTTCAACAAGGGCTCCGCCCATGGCAAGCGTGTCCAAGCCAACCTCGGCGCCAAGAACCACGCCGCCGTCCTACCGGACTGCAACAAGAACCACTTCCTCAACAGCGTCGTCGGCGCGGCCTTTGGTGCCGCCGGCCAGCGCTGCATGGCCCTCAGCACCCTCGTCCTCGTCGGCGAGACAAAGGAGTGGCTCCCCGAGCTGGCCGAGCTGGCCAAGAAGCTCAAGGTCGACGGCGGCTTCGAGGCCGGCGCCGACCTCGGCCCCGTCATCTCCCCGCAGAGCAAGCAGCGCATTGAAAGCCTGATCCAGAGCGCCGAGGACGAGGGCGCCACCATCCTCCTCGACGGCCGCGGATACAAGCCCGCCAAATACCCCAACGGCAACTGGGTCGCGCCCACCATCATCACAAACGTGACACCCGAGATGAAGTGCTACACGGAGGAGATTTTCGGTCCCGTCCTGGTGTGCCTCAACGTCGCGACGCTCGACGACGCCGTCGCGCTGATCAACAAGAACGAGTACGGCAATGGCACGGCTATCTTCACCCGCTCCGGCGCCACGGCCGAGGCCTTCCGCCGCAACATTGAGGCCGGCCAGGTCGGTATCAACGTGCCCATCCCCGTCCCTCTGCCCATGTTCTCCTTCACCGGCAACAAGAAGAGTGTTGCCGCGGGCGGTGCCAATACGTTTTACGGACGTCCCGGTATCTCCTTTTTGACGCAGCAGAAGACGGTCACGTCGTTCTGGGCGTCTGCCGATGCGATTTCGCAAAAGGCTGATGTGTCGATGCCTAACCAGTCATGAGTCTTGGGTGTTGAGGTGAAGAGGTGAAGAGGGATTGGCGGTGGCACGGTGCGTATGTGTCTGGAGCTAGGCAACGTAAAATGGGTTACGTAGGATGAAGTTATTGAGCACGCACCGGGATGAGTACTATGGTTTCATGAGGAAGTAGTGGCTGGTTGAAAACACGGCATGGCAAAAATGATAAAAATGCAGAGGAAGTCGAGTAGAAAAGCCACATACAAAAAAAAATCAAACAAAATTTCAAACAAATACCATGGTCAGCATTCATATATGCATGTCATGATCCTAGATGAGACTGGAACATGCATGGGTTGCTCTCTCAACCATTGCCTGCCTAGAGTCCATTGCTGCCCACCATTGTGCTCACCTTGTAACAGCTCACTTACATGGCTTCGGTATCGGATCATGGAAGTAACTGACTGACTGCCTCCACCAGACACATCTCAACGTACCTCTGGCTGACTACAAGTCACGGTGATGCCTCTCGGAGCCTTCCATCCTGATCGTAGCAGGCATGATTCAGAAAACGCCTTGTCCGTTACTCTCCTTGTTTAAGCTCTAATCCAGAAGGGGCACCTATGAGCGTTCACTTCCGGTTGCTTCTCAGTGACTCTATTTCCGTTCAATGGTACGCATCAGCTCTCAAAGTAAAGCTATGGAAGCATACAATGTCAACGGGTGGTTTTTCCCCCTCCGGAGGATTTCCGAGGACATTGACGAGGAAGCGTCATTTACGGTATCATATACAGGTGCTTGGTGGTATCACAGGGATAAATCAAATGATAAGGTAAGCTGGATGAACGTCTGCGTTTTCTAAAATAATTCTCAAGCAAGCACCCAGGTAGAAATGGGGTTTCCATGGCCAATGCCATGGGGTTTCTTACCAAGACACTCTGAACAGGGTTTTGAAAGGAGTGGGCTTGTAATCCATCTCCCATGTAAAGGAGAAGGAGGCACGTCAGAACATGGATGGTTGGGCAGATATATCAACACGACCCGGTTCCGTGGGTTTCTTCTTACAAAACGACTAGCTACGTGAAGTAAAAGGTGCAGAAAATTCTCCAATTGTTGTATTATCTTGGTATGGTCTCTTGTGGCCGTGTTTGACTCTCATAATGCGAGGCCGTTGGAACACAGTTTCACGGGTTTGGCCGTTTATTCATCTTTATGACTGATTTCCTCCCATAAAACATCCTTCTCTCATTGTGACTGTAGTCTCAGGACAACAAACCCCTTCAAGCCTCACATTCACCAAACCCTTTCATCCCGTTTCCCCCCCCCCCCCCCCCCCCCCCCCGGGTCACACACCCACACTCCACCCTCACTACCGTTTAACACCCCCTATTCCCCATTCCCTCTCGAATCCCAGGAGACGCCCTGGGCCACTGATCGAGTGATTAAACACGATAGCAAAATTTCCCTTCGGGGGGGTGTGGGGTTTCATACGACACGGTCAATCCATCGATTGCCGGCGTCGCGGGTTCAACCCCGGGTGTCGACATTTCGCATGGTCAACTGTATCCGAACTTTTACGCAATTTTTTCTGCTAGGTATTTGTAATTTTGGTGTTTGAATTTGGTTTGTGTTGTTTTGGCGAATTTAATTGAATTTGGTGAAGTATTTTGAGACATGTACATTGGGTGTTGGCGATGGTGTTTTGGATCGAGGTTTGGAAATGGTTTTGAGGAGAGGAGGTGCGTGGGCTTTTGTGGATGTGGAAGCTGCACTTGGAGGTGTTTCTTATCTTACATTGGATCATAGCATGGTAAGGTGTTAACTTCACAGGGCCTTCGCATCACTTCGGCATCAGAGCTCGATCACAGCTTATGGTGGTTTGTCATCGCCGGCTTGTTATTATGCTTTCGAGACCATCACTAGGGATCTTTACAGCTTGTCTGTAAACTCCAAGATGGACCATGTCGCATGTCTTATTTCTATTCTTGTAGGGAACCCTTCGAGAGCTCTCTCACGCTCATGGGCAGATGACAACAATGACCACAGATCTCGTACAAGCAAAATTTATTGCGTATATATCCTCTCCCTACTCAAGCGTCGCCTAAGCTTCAAGTAACCAGACTATATAACTCAACCTACACCTAAAAACCCAAAAAGACAAGTAAAGCGACCGTGGGTATATAATCCTGTCCAGGAAAGAACAAAAAGAAAGGGAAGAAAAAAACACGAAACGCCCCTTTTGTCACTGCCGCGAGGGTATACAATCTGTCCCACGTCTTCTAAGCGAATGTCTACCAGACTCACACTCTTCCCCCCAAATCCCCGTCTCCATGTCCAGCATGTTATACGCTTCTCTAAGAAATATGAGAAGAAGAAAAGAAAGAGAAACAAGGGAAGAAGAAGTGAAGGAGCAAATATGCCGACATTACAAAAAACTCAATATCATCAAGAAACACACTCTCAACGTCCATCCATCTTGCTTACCCAACCCCCTTTCCAAAGGGCAATATCATCGAACAACCTGTGACGGCATCTGCGGCGTATATGGCACATACGGCTTCCCCCTCCGCACGTCACCGAGCTCCGCCTCCTCCATCATATCCGTAAACGTCGTATTCCTCTTCACCCCAGGTCGCCCGCCCACCGTCCGCGGGTCCGCAAAGACGCTAATACTCTCGCTGCTCGGCTCGCGCTGAAGGTGGGACTGGTTACTGTTGTTGTTGATGATGTACCCCGGCTTCGGCGGCGCAAGCGGATTCGGCACATTTGGCGGCTGCAAGCGTCTAGACCCGGAGTTGGGACGCATGCCCCTAATGGGAGGCACAGCTCCGGCGCCTGCTACTCCTCCTCCTCCTCCTCCCACCCTCCCAGGCGGCGTCCGAGGGGCAGAGTCACTGCGCGCGAGACCGATGGGGTGGTGCGCCAGCGTCGTCGCCGTCGAGGAGAGGCGGTTGTGGCCTTTGTTAGGGGTATACCCCGCCGGCGAGGTGACGGAGCCGGAGCCGCTTCGCGAGCGGGAGTGTGTTGTGGATGGGGTCTTTAGGATAAAGTCCGTACGCACGGTGGCGTTGTCCGTGATGGGGATGGGTTCCGAGATGAAGTTGCCAAAGGACGAGGTGGACGTCGACGGACGAGGGCCACCGCCACCGCCGCCGCTGCGTTTCTTCTCGTTGAGTGGAGGCGGGCCGCGGCGACGACGGCGGGCGCAGAAGAGGAGGGCGGCGACGCCGAGGCCTACGCCTACGAGGAGGCCGCAGAGGGAGCCGATGACGATGGCGGTGGGGAAGGTGCCGTTCTTGTTATCGGTGTCGCTGTCGTTGTTATTGTTGTTGGTCTCGGCGGGCGTCGCGCTGGCGGCGATGGTAGTCGGTATCACGCTCGGAGCAGCGGTGGCCGTCGACGATGGCTTTGGGACTGGGGTAGACGCCTCCTCTGGTGCTTTGGTCTGATCCGAGTCCATCGTGCACTGCGACAGGCTATTGCAGCTGTATCCAAAGGGGCAGCAGCTGTCGCCGCAGGTGGCGAGCGTGCCCTTGAGGACTGTGGTCTTGATGGACGCATCGGGGTGTGCCACGGGATCTTGGAGGTTGATGTTGCATGTGATGGGCGAGATTCTGTCGCAGCTCTCTCCCTCGGGACAGCAGAGGACGGTGGTGTTCCCTGCCAGAGTGATGCATTTCTTGCCTGTCCCACAGCAGAAGTTTCCCGGGAGGCCGTTGCCGCAGGAGGTGAAGCCCTCGGCGGCGCATGTGTTTTGTCGCTCAAAGACGGAGGGGATAGAGGCGGTATGGGCGGAGGCGAGGAGGATAGAGAGCACCGTAGCTCGTGTGCATTTTCGTAATTTCGACATGATCGAGTCCTGGGATATATGTGGTGGTGGTGGTGGTGGTGGTGGTGGTGTTGTTATGGATGGGCTTCTTTCAGCCGGGGCGTTGCTTAATGGTGTTGCAGGGCCGGCGGTGAACACTGAGCTCTTACCGCAGAGTCAGTCGCGCGTATGGAAGGATGTGTGTAAGTCGGGAGTCAGGTGTCGGTTTGTGTCAATGGTTCATGACCACAAAAGGAGAGAAACGAGGCCCCGAGACCCTTCTCGGGGGGAGAAACAGGACACAAAGGCGTAGAAGTAAGTCGTGGGTTGGAGATGTTTCGAGTTGGTACGGCCAAGCACATACAATGGAATTGTCGCTATTCACAGATGAAAGGGTATAAGACAAGGAATGGCTACTGAGTTGTTTGTTAGGTGGCAAGAGGCCTCACAAAAGGACCCAAGAAGCAGTTCGATAGAGCCAAAAATGACCTCAGGAAAAGAGATGAAAAACAATAACGAGAACGGAAAAGAGGGCAAAGAGAAGAATCGAGCGATGGGCCGAAAGATGATGACGATGTCGTTCCCACCCGATATTGAGCCAAAAGTCAACCAAGCCCAATATTTTTTGGTCTGGCTCGATATCGCGGCAGGGCGGCATGGGGGCCAGTTCTTCGGACCCCTACGACTGCCACTCGGCGGAGGACTCCCACGGCAAGTGCGTCAAAAAAGGAAGGAAAAAAAAAGTAAAGGCTCTCTCTCAAGTTCAACTACTGAACTTGTTACGCGGCTCCGAAACGAACGAGCTGTCGCCTGTGCCCAAAGAAACAATGCCACCCGATCGACCCTCGCCTAGGAAGGCCGGCTGGTCGGTGGCCAACCAAAGTAGCCCCCGAGTGGCATCGCGGTGACTTACGAGGGTTCACGAGGGGGGGGCTCCTGCCTTGCAGAGATTATCTTAGGCTCTGCTGCAAGCGCGACTGGATCGCAGTGAGTGCCAAAAATGGTGGAGCGATGGTGTTGCGAACTCTGGACGTCTCCAGTATCACCATGTCGACATGGAGAAACGACAAGCCCCCGAGCTTTTCCCATCACGAGAGAGAGGTTGATAGGGCATCAGCGGCCAAATTGCAGACCTCACGGGCCCCCCCTGCCCCCCAAAAAACCTTGAAAATGATTGGCGGATATCAATAATTAGCAAATGGGTAGCGACAACAGCAGACAGACGGCAACGTTGGGCGGCAGAGAGTCTCGCCGTGAGGCAGTGCTGGTCTGGGTAGTCGCTGGGCCGGCGACAACGAGAGGCTGTCGTTGTAGTGTCTCTGGTAGTGGAGATTTCCTCCTTGGGTGGTTGAAGGGGGTTGAAGGAGAACGAGAGGTTGTGAGCGGTTGGCGAGTCGCCCAGTCAAAGAATAGAATTTCCTAAAGGAGTCATCCAAAGTGCCAGAATGTAGCCGCGCAGCCGAAACGCGCGCCTATGATTCGTTCCTAGCAATTTGCGGCCCCGACTATAGGGGTGGCCCCTGCGTCGAAGGCGCCCGGGGGTGGCGGATACCGAAAAGTGGAGACAAACGGGGTCCGCCGCTCCATTGTCGGTGCGGTTCTCCCGTCCTTGTTAGCGTCCGTCCTTCCCTTCAAGGCTCCATTCTCTTTTCAGCAAAGACCCAGGCAGCCCAGGTACTCTTTTGGGCGTCCGCCTTTAACCGCTTTATCCCATCCATGGGACCATGGCACTGTTCAAGAACCAACACCAAGCAAGCGCAACTCATGGCGGTAGGGATTAGTACTCAACCCTTGGCCTCGACTAAAGAAACAAGGGTTCAAGACATGGACATTGACCGAGGATTACCTAGTCTCAAAACCCAACAACAACCTTCAATGGTCCGCCACTTGGCCCGTCCAAGCCACACGTGACGTACGCCATCCGTTCCAGCCACTGCAGCCACCGAAGCCGCTATTCCCGGTACCTCTTACCTTATACGCCCGCCGCTCTGCTGGCCATGCATCGGCTCCCTCACGTCCCTCAAACGGGTCACAGGACCGCCTCGCGAAAGCCTCACCTTTTGACCGATCGGCAACCGGCAGACGACGAACCTCCAGTCAAGAGCCGTCCCTCTCATGAGTCCCATCTCGCAATGGAGGAAACCGGGGATCATTACCACGTCCACGGGCCAAAATCGGCCTTGGCCAACACTAAGGTACTATTGGAAAGTAGTCAGTAGCATCACCATCGTCGTCGTTGTCCTTCTCGCTTCAGCTCGCCAAGGGGGAAGGGGTGCGACTGTGAATACTTGATGTCCTGACCTTCCATACATGATACCATCATCAGCCCCCCCCCCCCCCCCCCCCGTCAATCTTCGCCGTCGCCGTCGGTGAAGCGTGTAAGTCGGCCCCAAAGACTACAGGCCCAAGGGTCTCCAAAGTCCACGATCCACTCAAAACGGCGGTCCCCATCCCGACCCGATGTCCCCTCATCCACTCCAATCAAATGATCTAAGAGCAGCAAAAAAAAAAATGCCTTGCCATGATTGCCATGTTTCTGCCCATGCTCGTCTTCTTCCCGCCATCCATCGCCCCTCAAGCGGGACCAAATCCCAATGTCGTTCGCCAACCTCGCACTTCTACTTCGTATAGTACACACCCCCCCAATCCACGTGACGAATTGGTATTCGCCCAAGACCTCTCAAGTCTCGAAGAATTCCTCCCCCCCCAAAGAGACGCACGTTCGATCCCGTGGTCTCATCCGCTGCAGGGCCCCCGGCATGAGAGAGATAGAGGAATGAGGGAACGGCTTTTTCCCAAGCTTCAAGTTTTAAGCCCCATGCAAGGGGGACAAGAGCAAATCGCAAACCATAGACACCGTTGTCACGTGGATACTTGGTTGAGTTTTTCCCTGTTTTCGTACTACGCTAATACACCAAATCTTATTCACCCCTCCCCCTCCTAAGGTACCCAAGAACGATATCGGCGCCGGGAATTAACCACCCCCTCCAAAAGGGACTCCATCTTCGCCAATTCACGGTGATTCACACACATATACGAATATGCGTGTTGTGTGTTCTGTGACTCAAAAACGGCGGTGAACCGATGCTTGAAAAATCGTGGGGAACGGGTAATCCGTACGGGGATATGTAAAGCGGTGGCGCTTAAGCTTGGTGAATCTCGCTTTCCGTCATCTGAGACCATCTCTCTCTCTCTCTTCCCCTGTCTCTTTTTCCTTCCATGCCCAGATGTATGTCCCCGCACAAACCCAAAAAATCCCCTTGCCTTTCGTCAATAGATGGATAGATGACAGAGGGGTGTGTAAACTGAATCTGAACAATTGAGACTTGATATCAAAGGCCCCCCGTATGAACAGACATCTCGAGACCACAGTTAACTCGATACTGTGGTTCCTCAAAACACCCCAGCCAACTGTTTTTGTTTTACCAAAGGCACACCCCCCCATTAAGGTAAAAGCTCACCGAGCCCCAAGCCAACCTTCACCGCTACCTTACCGGGAAAACACACACACACACACACTCACACTTTAACCTTTACAACACCGACACCACAGACTTGAGAGGGGGACATGAGATACACAAAGTCCCCCTCAGGGCACCGTACAAACACACACACACCGGCTTGTACGACTGCGCAACCTCTTACCCCTCCAAACCTCCCACCATACCATTCACCCCCCTCCTCCTAGCCACCAAAAACCCCCCCTCCGGCATCGCAAGAAAACAACCTCCATTGACGAAGAACAAAAGGCCGAACCGCTACTGCGTCGATACCTCAAGCGAGTCAAGTATACTATAGCGCGTTGAAAGAGTATTATAGCCCACCACGAGGAAGAACAAGCTCTCTGTCCATCTCATTGGGAATCCTTTCGACCGACGCACCTCATGACCACCCACAGAGCCAATTACCTACCCCCCCCATGTCCATCTTGACCAAACATCCTCATGCTCCCGCACATGCTTCAATTGGCACCCAGGAAATGGTGTAAAAAAGGCACTGTACCGTAAGGTACCTACCTCACCCTCGATCGGCAACTTGCATCTTCCAATCCCCCATCCTCTGCTTCCGAGTTACAAAGGGAACCAAAGGAAACTTCCCGTCACTGTTTTCCCCGTAGTCGTTCTTTTTCGCAATCAATTCGCCCATCCATTCTCGCTCTCTCTTTTTCTCACCCGTTGTTCCGTCTGACAAACCCCCCCCCCCCCATCGTGCCATTTGCGCGTAAGCTTCGGCCCAAGTACTTCCAAGGGGGAAGGTGGTGGTGATCGCCACGCCCGTGCAAGTAAGCCGGAGAACTTTCCCACCTTACTGTGTAGTGTGTACTCTCCCCCCAACCCCCTGGCATAGACCGGCCCAGACAACTTCGGACTCGGCCGGTGGGCACCACCTGTGAGGGAATTCTTGTCGTCACCACTGGAAAATATTACTCGAAGCGCAAGAAGAAAATAGTGATGTGAAGTACTGCTTTTGAAATTGTTGGGTATAATGTTTTGGTATTACATGATTCCTATAATCCTGCTCGATTCTGCCCACTGCTCCGTAGAGAGTTAAAGGCCAACCGAATGAGTTACCATGTGAAGAAGTCAACTGGGAAGCTAGCCCATCGCAGCTCCCAGAGCCCTTCTCTTTGATCCATCCGATCCAGTCCAGATGCACCGAAATGCTAGTTCCCAAAGTCCCAAACATAAACTCCGATGAAGCCCGTTTCCCGTGCTCATGCTATGGTATACCCAAGAGAGGAAAGAAAAACGAAGAGATCAGACGAAAGCATGTTCCATCTGAACAAAAAGAAGAATGGTCGTTCGTCGCATCTCATGTTTCCATTGCATGTTCCAGGGCCTCATCCAGGCGGTCCCTTTCCCATCATCCATCATCATCATCCATCATCCTGGCAGCCAGGCCCAGCTGCCCCGTGCACCCTCACCCGTGAAAGTGTCCAGTCAGAAGAAAAGTAAAAGTGTGATCCAAGTGTCTTCGCTCTCATCGTTCATGTCCGCTCCGTGTGCCTTGCGGCGTGTCCTTCTAGTAAACCCAAAACAACCTTTGATGAGGTTGGTGTAAATGTATAAAAATGTGGTATCAAAATGGGGAAGTTTAGAAGAAAAAGTTCTCAAGTGTCCAGCAGTGCAAGGCAGGCTGGCAAGCAGCCCTGATTGCGCGAAAGGGAATAAGCGATTGCCTGCATCACCTTTCCGGAGGCGGTATACATACCATGCAGATGCAAGGCGGGGCTTCTGCACACATCTATACAACCCGGAACCAGCCAGGGTGCTAGATGAGCAAGAAGTCCCAGCCCTTCATCTGCATGACATCCCTCCAGTGGATGTATGCTACCGCCTCAGTTCCTTGCGTGGAACCAGGGCTGCCGGCGCAGCTGTCACTGCTCTTGATGTTGGACGTCTGCATCCAGACTTCGTTCAGGAGCGAGGCGACGCGGCCAAAAGAGCCGCAGTCAGAGACATCGCCAAGCTGGGCAACGCGGTCCTCGAAGAGGACGCGGAACGAGCTGCCAGGCAAGCTGACAGAGCCACCGACGAGGTAGACCCAGACGAGACTACGGTCAAAGCCTCCAGGTCCCGAAGGGATCAGCTGGAGAACGTTGGCAAGCTTCTCAACCAGGCCGACACAGGAGGCCTGCGCGGGGTTGAAGCCAGGCACCAAGCTGCAAAGGTAGATGCGTGCAGCAAGGCGGAACGCGGCCGTCATGTTCTTGGAAAGCTGCTTGGGGGAAAGGCTTCCATTGTTGTTGTAAGGCATTTTGGGGCCAGGCTCGCCAATCTCGGTGAGGTTGATCTGGTCGCCAAGTGCGTGGACGTGCTGGCAAAGAGTAATGTCGTCCATGCCGCTTCCCTTGAGAGCCTCGAGGCAGGCAATCTCAGAAATAAGGTACATGACACGGTCATCGCATCCCATAAGCTCGCGAAGACCCAGGCTGGGGTTGTTTGACAGGTGCTTCTCGCGGTAGGTGTGGGCAAAGGTGGGTGCTTGTCCCTGCATGGTGGCGCCAAGAATATCAATCCAGGAGGTCAAGGTCATATTGAAGGGAGTTTGGGTCATCTGCTCATTGGGGTCCGACACCAGGCGAGGGAGGTCAAGCTTCTGGACTAAGCTGATGGCAGCTTGGAAGTGCTGGTGCCAGGGAATGTCGGGCAGTGCGTCATCGAAGCGACCGACGACACACTGGAAGAAGATAAGACCCAAAGCAGCCTCGAGGATCTCTTGGTGGTTCTCGTCCTTGTTCAAAGCGTCGCAAAGAGACGATATGGTGGCGTACCGATGGCGCATGATGTCTTGGTCAATCTCCTCTCCAGGAACGTTCATTGTCGCCTTGTAGTGCTGGGCGGCGATGCTAAGGCAGCAGTGCAGGTAACCCTTGTTGCTCTGCAGAGCCGGCAAGATCAAGTCGGAGCCGACTGAGCCATGCTGGTTGGAGTCGAGGATGGGGAAGATGGTGGGCAGGACGAACTGGATGAAGTGGTCCAGGAGGCGCTGGTCGTTCTCGTCAAGCTCAACTGCGACCTGGCGGTTGGACATGGCCGGGCCATGGGAGAAGTCGAAGAAGTTGACGTTGAGAGCCTCCTCGCTGAGGGACTCCTTGCGCTCAGAGTAGATCTGCTCGGTCCACTCGCCGTCGAGGGGTGCAGAGGAAGGCAGGATGGTTCCCGGGGGCGGGGGAGTGTGGTAGGTGCTGAATGTGGAAATAGTCGACTCCCTCAGAGTGGGCACATCGTTCATGTAGACCTGGCGTTCAGTCTTGACATCAATCTCGTAAGGCGAGGGGAAGCCGCTGAACATGAAGTCGGGGTGCATCTGGGGATTGTAGGCAGCATACTCGGCACCAACATTTTGCGGGCTGTTGAAGTTGAAGGCCTGGGAGAAGTGCGAGTCGATGGAAGCGGAGCGAGTGCGGTCCAGAGGATCGGAGAAGGTAGCAGAGGTCGGCAGAGAGTGCGACAGGCCGGGAGGAGAGCCGACGGAAGTCTGAATTGTATGCGACGCCTTTTCCGAGAGCTTCTTGCGCTTGATAATCATCTTGATGTCGTCCTTGTGCTTGCGGCGGGCATCGTTGTTGCTCCACCACATTGGACGCTTGTATTCGCATGTCAAACCAAGATGTTTGCAAGCGGAGCACATTGGCGAGCCCTCGTCGCACTTCTTGCGGCGCAATCTGCAAGTGTAGCATCCTGTAGAAAATCCAATCATTAGTCTCGAGTGCTCAGATGAGGTTTGATCATCGAGGGATGCATGTTCTGGGGTGGATGAGGAAAAGTCGCTCCCGTGTAAGTGGGATTGGGTTGTGGGTGTAAGTCAAGCACGACTAATGCCATGGTAGACGGGATGGGATTTTGGGGAAAAGATGGCCGAGAGCCAAGCGGAATCTTGAGATGAACGTACCTGTCCTTGAACGACGGTGCATTTGTGACTTTGCCTTGGAGCTGGCATTGTTGTTGTTGTTGTTGTTGTTGTTGTTGGTGGTGTTGGCTTTGCAGGCCGACTTGGCCTTCGCAGAAGATGCGACGGCCATGTTGACTGCAGCTGTTGATCTCATGAAGTCGTCTCGAATGTGGTTGGGGGGTAGAGATGCCATTTGTACCCTTCTTCTGTTCGCGATGGAGGTACCTGCGTGTGAATGACAAGCCGAGCAGCGAAGACAGAGCTAGAGCTGGCTGGCTGGGGCGGAGAGGAGAGAGAGAGAGTGAGGAGGGAGGGAGGGGTGTGAATGTGTGCTGGACCGGGGAGGTGATCAGGGACCAGGGTCAGAATAGGTGGAGGGGCGTGGCAGGAACCGTTACACTGTGTAGAGACGGAAGCGACCGACACTGTGCTCTGGACCGGGGAAAAGAACGAACAGGGGTCCGGGGGGGTGTGCGAGTGCCCGTGTGCGCGCGTTGTGTGCTTCTCCTCTTTTCTTCTGATTTGTGTGTGTGTTTGCTGGGTGAAGCAGTCTTCGTTCCTCTGTGCTCTCTCGCTTCCCTTTCTTTCCTGGTAGCCAAGGATGGAAAAAAAGGCGGGGACAAGCTGGGATCGATATTGGAGAGGGGGAACTCGACGAGGGACTCGGTGGTCAGGAAACGTCTGTTCGCTCGCCCGCTGTCAACGCAATTTGAGATGGTAGACCGGGTTGTTTGTCGAATGGTATGTTGAGTTTCTCAGAAACCCAAGGTTCCAAATCGTATCTGATTATTGAATTATTTCTTTCTTCCTTGTCGTTCAAATGCAACAGCAAATTCGATCTCGTTTCGTGAACTGTAAGCAATGGGCGCGCTGCAAATTGTAAAATTGCAAATATGTCGAGAGTGGTCGACCGTGTGTTTTTTTTCGGTGGTGTCGAATGATTGACTGGTTGTTTAGCAAGTCCGGCTTGCCTTGAACTGGATTATCGGGTGGATTTCGAGTGGTTGGGTTTTCCGAAGATTGTGGACGGAGGGTATCAAAAAACAATTGGATGAATGAGAGAGAAAAAAACCTTGAACAACACTTGGATCACTTTCCTTCTTCTTCTGCTTGACTTCTACAGATCAACAAGGAGAGTAGGCCAGAATCCAACTGTTCGTGATGGATGGTCCAAAGTCTTATATTGTGGCCGCCTCCATCATGACCGTCCTCTTGTTGCGCCAACCAACGGGCCTTTGAGTGGCCTGCCTGGTGTTCGCTACGTAGCCAACATCAATATTGTTCTAAATTTGGATCACCTCTATGTGTGTGTGTCTCCATCGTCCCCGAGCAGTGAGTGAGTGAGCGAGTGTGTGTGTGTGTGTGTGTGTCTGCTCTGCATTCCAGACTAACGTAGGCTAGGGCACAAGGCAGGCCGGCCGGCCGCCTTCACATCAAGTGCGTGAGACTTTGACCTGCGCTTACAGGCTCCAATGAGAATGGGCCGCCAAAGGCGGTCGCACTCACTGTTGGACCCCACCCGAGAATAGAATAGGAATGGACACTTCCGCGTCGAGAGGGGGGCAGCTTCGAGATGGATGACATGGGTGCAAGCAGCTGTCGAGCGATTGAACGGGCAACGCATGCATATCGTGGCTTGCCATGGCTGGCTCTGGATGGCAGGCCATGGGGACCAAGCTGCCAAGCACACCTTCAACCACCTGGTCACCACGCTACGCAGAGACATGCAGAACCACATGGGGCCCGCCTCTTGTTTGCCCAACCCGACTTGCCAACCTGCTATCGAGTTGTGCCCCATCTGGCCGTATGCCTCTCCGGCTGTCCGCCGTCGATACCGCGTCCACTCTGTTGTCCGGGCCCTGACCGGTGCAGATGCTGATCTTCAATATCGTCTGGAAGGGGAAACTTGGTGCTGCGAGTACCTACCAGTTCGCCCGGATGCGAGTTCACCCCGCGGGAGTCCGTTGCGCAGCCGGAGCTGCAGAAACACAGAATAGTATCTGTACGTAGTATCTGTATGGCCCTGACCTATCTTGTATACGTTGCACCGGGTCCGTCATCAAGTACTATCGATAGATGGTTCCCATGGGCCGCCAAGCTGGCCTTCGATGGCACGATTTGAGTAGAGGATTTCGGGGGCCGACAGATGACCAAGCACTGAGCAGAGCTACAGTTGGCAGGGCCCCCCCTTGCAAAAGATATTTGGTCGTGGATCACTTCTCCCACTAACAAGCTCTGTCCTAGGATTGCATGTACTTGCATGAAGCTTTCCAACCACCAACACAGTTCGCTGAGCTTGTGGGGCCCAGCGAAATACTACCGCAGGTATTCGTAGAGCCAGAAGCGAAAGCCGGGCAAGAACCTACGGGTTGGCATGGGTATGGGGGCCTGTCAACCTTTCTGGGTGAGGTTAGCCCTGTATCTGACAAACGCGGTGGATTCATCCGATCATCCCATGAGAGGAGCCTCGCTTCATGGTTGCATGATGGATAACCATGAGCGTGACATGACTAGTCAACCGCTGGAGCCCCCGTTGAATGGCATCAAATATGGCAATCAGCCTGATCATTTTCTGGGAATGATCTTCATTGCTGTTGGTTCTCCAAAGACCCATGCCGGGTCAAAGTTCAAACCCTGTCGAATGAGGTCTCGTAGTGTTTCCGACTTTGGCGAGACCGATGTTGAACCTCATCTTGCCTCACGGTCTTCTTCAAGACTTCAACAAGACGGACCAAAATGAGGTCCTCTTGAGAGAATCCACAAATGAGAAGGCCGAGAAAGGCGGTCAGCTCCCGGATTGGATGGCCCATTCGGCCACTCAAAGTCGGTCGAATGTGGCTGCCGGACTTGATACGGTGGAACTGGGACTTTCTGTCGTGCATGGCGAGAAGTTCAGGGGTACTTTGCGGTAGTTCGTAGCCTGTCAGCAATGGATTTGTGCTTGGTGTAGTTGGACTACTCCGCAGATGATCAAGAGAGTGAAAATACCTCGAATCGTAAGGAGAACAGGCGAGCTCGGCGAGGACCCATCTCCAAAGATTGGGCGAGTGGGGTTTGGTGGAAAGTGCAACATGTCGAGGCCGGTACTTGGGCATCGATACCCAACTACAGCCGAATGTGGTGGCAGGTGCAGCAAGCAAGGGGGTATCATGGCACCGCGGGAGATGTCGTGCAAGGTGCTCCGCTCCGCCAGAGCCGTACCTAAAGGGTTTCTTTCCTTCTTGCGGCTTGCCTACGGAGTACTAGTCGTTGCGAATAACGGCTGCAGAAAGGTACAAGGACAAGGTTGCGGCTGGCTACTCATCCTCCCGATGGTATTTGCTCTGCGTTCCTTTTTCCCTCTCCAGTCTCCAGCACCTGCCACCTCTTTGCTCGGTCGTACGTAGTTAGTGTCATTGTCCATTGAGTCGAGGTTTCTTTGTCCAAAGCGCCTTCTCCCACGTTGATTCGATGGCGAGGTGTGACGACTTGTCGTCTCGTGCAGGGCTTCGGGACCAACCGTTTATTAGCGCCTGTGATGTCGCAGGGATTTAAGCTCTTGCCAGAGGTCCGCTACGGCCCCGGATTGGCTATTGTTTGCTGCAAGCGAGAAGATCGTGCAGGAATATTGGTCAGGGGCCCCCAGGTACTCCACTGGATGGGGGCAGAGCTTTGGCCAATGCGCGGCGGGAGCGCGGCAAGTGACGGGGCACCTTCTCGCGGGGTTCGCATGCTAAGCAAGGCTAGGGCGCCTTAGCTCCATATTTCCTGCCCCTCTTGGCTCTTATGGCTTGCCCTCGCAAGGAAGAAAGAGCGCTGCAGCGGAAGGCACGTTCCTCAAGATGCTTATCCACCATCTGCCAGCCAAAATCTGGCTTTCTTACCAAGTATCTACCAATCATAGTGCGGTATCTTCATCTCTTCTCCCCTCCTCCTGCTCTCCGCTTCCTTCCGTGCCGTGCAAGTGCTGCCGAACGAACAATGCATCTGGCAGGCACGCCGCCCGCCGCACGGCAAGTTTGCTGTCTGGAGGAGGCATGTCGGGCAAGGTCCGCCGATGATGATGATCTCCCGCCAACAGGACGCTCTTGCCTGACGAGCTACGTTGCCCTACAGCATCGGAGTACCACCCTCACCACCTTCCGAGACGGGATACTCGGATCATCCTCACCTTCCTGTACGCAGTACCTCTACGAATAGGTAGGTAGGTAGGTACCGTTCATCTGACCGTCTAGCCATCCGTCCAGTACCTGCTTCCCTCGGAACAAACCTCATCCATGATCCCATCCTTGAGGTCAGGTCCTATTTCTGGCGGCCTAATTAGCCGCCCAGTCCATGGTGCGTGATCGAATTAACCCTCTTTGCGTCACACTATTTGCCCTTTTGCAACTCTGACATGTGGGCTAATTTGAGCACACCTCTCCATGCGTCATACAGCTCGTCACACCGTCTAGCCGCTGCAGCTGTTTACTGTCACCCGCAGATTTCAGTCACGTCAGCTAACATCCGTCGCCCGCTTCTATTTTTATTTAGCCCCGATTTGAGAGAATTATCCCTCGTAGTCGGGAGTTTAACCCGCCAGGTCACGATATCACCTCATATCGATAGTCTGCCAACTTCTGGATCATGCGGGCTAATTATGGTTACAGTTTCTCTTCCAACACCGTCCAAAGGACCTAATTAGCTCCGACAACGCGACCTACCACGATTTCTTCCAAAGTCCATCGAGTTGAGGTTACGCGGGTGCGCTTGACGGAGCGTTGGTTTGCCATTATTCCGGATCTTGCACACTTGCCGTCAGTAACGGTCTTGCATCAGCGGCTCGAACCAACAGCCTGCTGCTCGAGGCAGTACCCGGCCTGCACAGCATCCGTGCCGTACCTTGCCATTTTGCGGATGCAGTCATTAGCCAACAGCCCAGGGTCTTTTGCTTTTTCTCGCAACATGATGCCTGCCTTTCTGCCCGCTGACAATCGCAATCATCGCAAACGTCCACGATCATCGCCAATTTCTCAGGGGCACCGTGGCTTGCGGCGTGCGCAACAATTATCTGCCCGTCCCGCAATCTACTACTGCCTACCCGGTGCCGCAGTAGAGCCCGCCGTTCGTCAACGTCCGTCCCGCGGAAGACGCAAGTTTATCCGGTCAGACGCCACATCTGCCTCGCGGGTCGGGCTGCCGTTCTGTCAGACTGTCAGTGCCCGGCTGGTTGATACTCGACATCACAATCATCTACATGTGAACCTTTGCATTGTCAGCTCGTGCGGCACGTATAACATTATTATCCAACATAAATATGGAAACTCTCACATCCAAATATTGCATGATTCAGCGATCGGCATGACCAAGACGCTGTTTTTGTGCCTCACTCTTGGGCCCTCATTTCCCCTTGTACGGAACACACTACGGATACTACACTGCGGATATGGTGGCATTGGACCATTCGATTGAGTTGAGGCGATCGTCGACTCCGGTTGCATGGTGAACAGCCTCGTTCGTACCTGCTTTCAGCCAGAAAGAGGCGACAGATGAACGCCCCTGTCACGGTGCAATCTCCTTTTCCTCCAGATCACACATATTGTTTCCCTCCGCTGCCTATGTCGGCTTTCATTTCCTGGAGTCGTCAATGGCAGCGAGCAAAACCCCGCCTCTTTGATTGGCGGACGGACTTTGAGGCGTCGAGGTGTGCCCATCATCCCCAATCACTGTCCTGTTGTGGCTAGGTTAATGTGATGTGATGTGAACAGCATCTTTGAACCTTGAGGGTCGAGATATCGGATTGCAGGGAATGCGGCCGCTAGATTTTGCGGAGAACAAGACCACCACGCCTGGGCATCCCAGTCTTCCCGCTCTTCCGCTAACAGCTCGCGAACGGCGCAACATCGCGTTGCCTCTAGACCCCAGCCACGCGCGGCACATCGACACAGATCCTAGTCGGAAACTACGGACTCTAGTCTGTCTCTAGGCACATTGTTTGCCTTTGGCTAGAGAATTACGTCCGTAAACATGGAGAAGAAGACGGGCGAACTAAGAAAGATCGCGGCATCATTCAAAGCGGCAGACAACCCATTGTGGTCGACTTCCAAATCTCACAAGGCCAGGAACCCCCTGGCCGACGTTCTCAGCTCTGAGGTCCGTACCGTACGGGAGCACTGTACCATATCCATGCTCTCCCGCCCTCCCGCCGAATCTGTGGATCTAAGCCCCCAGGTTCAAACCCCGACACCGCAATTCACTCAAATACTGTGTTGTATTGCGGCACAGAATCGCAAATACAGCGCAAACTGCATTGCAATTTGGAAGAAAACATGGCCCCCGTGAGACCAGACTTCGGACCCCAAAGGCGCAGTAGGAGAGTTTGCATGATTTTTCAACGTCGCATGTCTAGACATTACGGGATGACATGCAGCTGACAACCATTCTCTTCAACAATCGACAACTCAAATAACACTGAAAATTTAGCATTCTGGGTCCCAACATCGGACGCATTGCACCCAACAATCAAGTACGAATTCGAGGTTGCATTCAGAATACGAATGACAAAGAAAACCCTGAAGAGCCATCCTGCGGACAATGCCCTCCATTGTAAAATCAACTCCATGCGATACGACTCGTGGCAGATGGTTGCCAAGCACACTGCAGATGATAAGCCACGTCCTCAGTATCGGCTCGCCTCGCCCTGTCAACTACGAAATGGCAGCCACTTTCGACATGCCACTAGTGGAGCGCCAGTTGACGGACCGAAATCACGATGACCTGCATCCGT